ATTTTTTTATTTATGTATGAAATAGCCACCGATTTAGCGATCGAAATTTTGCGACGCAAAATATTGGTCGTTATTTCCGTCGCTAAATAAAAAAGTGAAAACCAAATCATATTTTGGTGGTTAAATCGGTCGCTAATTGCGACCGAATTAAAGTGGTCGCTAATTGCGACGGAATTAAAGTGGTCGCTAAATCGGTCTCTAATTGTGACCAAAATTAAATCGGTCGCTAAATCGGTCGCTAATTGCGACCGAAAAAATTTGGTTGCTAATTTCGGTGGCTAAATGTGTTTTTTCTTGTAGTGCATATTGGTTTGTGCATTATTATTGTAAATAGGTGTTTAGATATTTGAATTCATAATTTAGAAGGAATTGGTGTCAAGATAGAAAGATTTCAGATCAGCAAGTTTCTCAGCTGCCTTGTGAAATGTTCCATAACCTATGGATTTGATACCAGAATACAAAGATCAAATTCAGAAAACTCCACAGGTTAATTGTGGATTTTTCCATAGCCTATAGATTAGACTCCAAAAGATTGCACGAAGTCAGAGAGCTCCACAGATGAGTTATGGATGTTTCCATAACCTGTGGATTTGTGGTCCATAATGCACAGTTGAATTCAGAGAGTTTCATAGGTGGGTTGTAGATTTTTCCACAACTTGTGGAAATTCAAGACGGTTATGAGAAGTGGTAACTACCTCAACAAGTGGAGAAAAAACGTGGAGAGACCCTATAAAGAAGGTGGAATGAAACTGAAAAACCACTCTGGGCGACCATTCTCCAATGTTATGTTCTGCTTATTATCTTTTGACAATTTTTACATTATGCAGAACTGATTTCCCTTTTGTTAGAGGATTGATGTAGTACTCTGAATTATATTTTCTTGTTCTTGACAATTGATGTTTAGTTAATGTTCTTTATCTCAGTGTTCTATTTATAATTTTCAAGTTCATTCCACGAACAATTTCACAATTGGGAGATTGGAGGTTGTTCGCGATCCTAAATATAATAGGTTAAGGTTTGTCACAATTGGGAAATTGGGCATATATCTAATTAGTTTACAATAGAGAAGATTATTGTTCTTCACGATTCTATTGAATGACATAACTAACCTAAGGGATTAGGGGTTCGAATTTAATGAATAGTTTTGTCTACTAAGGGATTAGGGGTAAAACAACTCTGGATAAACTCAAGTGGATAATTACATTTCTTGCATCAATTTAAAGGACTGGAATTGTATAAGAAAGGGTATGACATCAATTCTCTAACAAATCTTGTTTTGAATAAAGTTCTTATTATAATTCTATGTTGTTATTTTATCCAAATTTTCAATTGCTCAAACTTACGTAAATTAGGAATCTAGTATTCAACAAATTTAATCACAGAAGACGATATTTTATTACTACGTTAACGCTTAGTGCACTTGCCAAACTTTTATCAAGTTTTTGATGCTATTGTCGGGGATTGATTTTTCTGTTGATATTAGTGATCTAATTCGCTTAAGATTTGAGTGTTAGTTTTTAGGTAGTCAAAACTGTTTTTATTTCTAGTTATTTTGTTTTTTCTATTTTCATTATCTTGTTTGTTTTTTATGTTGTCACGTGAACTTTGTTATTAGAATATTGTGTTTTTAAGTTGTTTATGCGAGGTACAGTGGTAGAAAAATTTTGCCTTTTGACCCAGAAATTGAAAGTACTACTAGAAGTAATAGAAGTGACGCAAGAAAGAAGAAGCAAAAATGAAAAACAAAGACATCAAGTGAAAAAGAAGAACACGTATCAACAATGGTAGAAGAACAACCAGAGAGGAAAATTATTCTTGACTATTCTATGCCATATGTGAATAATTACCAAGGGAGCATTGTGAGACCTACTATTCAAGTCAACAATTTTGAAATCAAGCTTGCATTGTTACAAGTCATCCAACAAAATCAATTTGGAGGTGCAGTTTCAGAGGATCCTAATTCTCATCTAGAGAATTTTCTGGCCATTTGTGATACTTTGAAGCTTAATGGAGTTTCAAATGATGCAATCCGCTTGAAACTTTTTCCTTTTTCATTACAAGATAAAGCTAAAAGTTGGTTTTAAACACAACCTCAATGAAGTATTACTACATGGGAAGATATGACTACAAAATTTGTTACCAAATACTTTCCTTCATCCAAGTCGACAAGAATGAGAAAGGAACTTTTGTGCAGCAAGAGACTGAATCTATGTACGAGGCTTGGGCGAGGTACAATGAGCTATTGAGGAAATGTCCACATTATGCTTTACCAAATTGGTTACAAGTCCAGATATTTTATAATGGTCTTGTACCCTCTTTTAGAGCAATGTTAGATGCAGCAAGTGGAGGAGAATTTAATCTGAAGACACCAGCAGAAGCTTTGAAGACTATTAAGTTAATGGCAAATAATACAGGGAATATGCAGTTTGATCGTCAGAATAGAAAAGGTGGAATGTTAGAAGTTAACACTTTGGATGCTATCCTAGCCCAAAACAAGTTGTTAACACAACAAATGATCGAGTTGACTAAGAAGATTTATAGTATGCAAGTGAAATCAGTGAATACAACACCTTTAGCATGTGATTTTTATGGAGGAATGCATCAAAATGGTGAATGTCAAGTCACTCAACAAGAGTTTCAGTGGGCCAACATCAGAATCAGTTTGCTAACAATTTCAATACAAATTGGAGAAGCCCATCAAACCAACCTTGGAGTGGATCAAATCAATCCAATCAGCCAAAGCTTCCATATCAATATCAACCACAATCTAACAACCAAGGAAATAAGATGTTTACTTTGGACAGGGCTTTAGAGAAGCTAACTGAGCAAACCTCAACATTTATGGAACAAACTTCTAATTTCATGAATGAGGCAAAGACAAATTTCAAGAATCAGGAAGCTTCAATTAGAAACTTGGAGAACCAAATTGGTCAACTTTCACGACAAATCTCAAAGAGATCTCCTGGAACATTTCCTAGTGACACCATTACCAACTCAAAGGAAAAATGCAAGGCAATTCAATTGAGGAGTGGGAGATTGGTAGAGAATGAGAAAAGGAGTGAGATGGGTAGTGAGAGAAAAGAACAAAGAGATGATATTATGAAAGAGAGTGAAAAACAAGAGCAGGAAAATTGTGAGGAGGAGAATGAGGGGGAGAAAAAGTCAAGAGAGTGAAAAGGGTAAAAATGAGAGAATATGTTCCTACTATTCTACTCCCTCAAAGGTTAAAGAAGAAAGAACAAGAAAAACAATTTACAAGATTTCTTGATGTCTTTAAGAAGCTCCACATTAATATCCCATTTGTTGAAGCATTGGAGCAAATATCAAGCTATGTTAAATTCATAAAGGACTTGTTGTCAAGAAAAATGAAGCTTCAGGAGGATGAAACCATAATGCTTACGGAGGAGTATAGTGCAATCATTCAACAAAAATTACCTCCCAAATTGAAGGATCCAGGAAGCTTTGTCATTCCATGTGAGATTGGACATATAATGGTAAGCAAGGCGTTGTGTGATCTTGGGGCGAGCATCAATTTGATGCCCTTGTCCATTTTTAAAAGGTTGGGTATCGGAGAAGTGAAGCCTACTAAGATAACTCTCCAATTGGTGGACCGATCAATGACTTATCCTTATGGAGTGATGGAGGACATCTTAGTGAAGGTTGATAAATTTATCTTTCCAGCTGATTTTGTGGTCCTTGACATGGAAGAAGATACTAAAGTTCCAATTATATTG